GACTGCGCTATGTAAAAACCAATCGCATAAAGCCACCCTATTCAAACACAGCTCTCATTCATTTCATTCACATTCTCTTTTTTTTTTCTTCTCTTCTCTCTGTGTGTATGCCGACTTGATGTATCTCACATCGCAGCTGCATCAACACGAACAACGCGTCCGCTTTCACATCTTGTGTGATATTTTCGCCTGGCATTGCCCTTTTTTCCACATTTCAATTTTCCCATTGGAATCTTGGCTACACATAAAATATAACATGATGCTGTATGTATTCTGCACACACCATTCATTCAAGACGTGAGCGCAAGGACACTATTTCAGTTTTGAAAGAAAATACAGACAAACGGTGTTGCATCTTGGCATGCACGAAACAATTTTGATGATGAAGTAAGATTGAAGCGTGCACATCTTCGACAAAATCGTATGGGATTCTCTTATTTTATTTCTTTTTTTTTTTCCACGGAACACATCCAAATTATTCGTCGTTCTCACTTGGTTCGAAAGAGATCTGGGGGAGTATTCAATTCGGACGTAAAATGTGCTCCGCTGATTTTCACGTTCGTTTTTCATGTAAACGGGAGCTCACATTGCTTCATTTCTACAAAATATGGATTCCAGGTTTTTCATACACCTCATTTTACATGTATTTGTTCCATATCTGCGTCAAAGTAGCATCCATATCTCGCCATTTTGAACTCAAAATGCATTCGTAAATAAATGTACTACATTGAGATCAGGAGGCACTCACAATCATATACATACACACACAATAGTGTGAGGAGTTAAGTTTTATACTAAAGTGTCATAACCAATACATTCAACTATATATAGTTGACATATTCGAATGGGATAGATGTCATCTCATTTGTGTATATTTGTTGGTGCTGACATCTGCTTTTGCGATGAACTTTATCCCATTCGTATATGTCAACTATATTTGAATGTATTGGTTATGTCACTTTAGTATACAACTTAACTCCTCACTATTGTGTGTATATATAGAGAGGGCGAGAGAGATATGTGCACTATTTTTATTTGATCCAAGAGATGGAAAGCTACTTTAAAATGTTGTGTTTATGTTTTGTATGCGCGCCTAAATGGAAACTAAAACAATCGTGTTCATTTTATTCAAATTCATTTAATTTTTCACGATAATTTCAAAGGTATTGTGAATTATGTGTGTGCATGCTGTGGATGCTGTTGATTCGGCTTGACTCTGTTAATTGAGGCAAATTCCTTTCTAAATTTAAAATATTTCACCGTTCCATTGAGGCAGCATGAGATGGCCGGTAGTGAAAAATGATGCAAAGTGGATATAGATATTCGTGTGGAAAATTATGGTGACAGATGAAAATTCAAATATTTGAAGTATGCACTACGAGACATGCGATCAACGAACGAATGGCTGATATGGAAATTCAAGTGTAAGATGTGTTGTAATGCGTGGAAGAGAGGACGAAACAGTGCAAGATAGGGACAGACGGAGAGAGAGGGAGAGAGAGAGAGAGAGAGAGAGAGAGAGAAAGAAAGAGAACGATCCAACGTGCACAACACAAAAACGAATGGGAACAAAGCCCCATAAAATTAATTAGGAAAATGTTTATAAATTACATTTTGAATTGCTCTTAAAACAGTAATTTCGCCGAAGCGAGCATTGAGTGAGGGCGAGCGAGCACCAATGCTATGCATTGATGTTCATGAGTGTGAGCGTGTTTGCTGCAAACAACCATGTGAGCACAGTGTTGAAATGTTAGTTGAAGCAAGAACGGCAGCAACCACGATGTTGTCGTTTGAATTTTAAAGCGAGACGGCAAACGAATACACTCAAAAACGCCAGACCATGGCGATTACATTCCTTTTTACGTTTATTTCCTTTGCGAATGTTGAATCACCAACACAACCAAATTTAATGCACTAAATTAATTGAAATCGAGCCACATGGAGTTTTGGCCCTTGTTTCAGCAAATATTTCCTACTTTCTGAATATACTATTCTCTTTACTCTTGCAAGAGAATGATTCTTCTCACTGCTCTGCTGATTCAAAACGAAATTCAACTGTTCGCCACTACACTTTACTCCTTTGAGCATCATGTCAAAAAAACAAAAAGCGACCGAGAAAAAAAAGCGAACGAACGAACGAACGAACGAACGAACGAACGTCGAAAAGTTGTAAGCATTACAACATTGTATATAGTTTGTTACATAAAATGCGTAGCGATTTGGCGACCGTTAACATCCATGCCAAATGTAGAATAGAGAAATCATTGTTGCGTGCTCGTTTGTTGGCATCGCCTTTGAGCATGTACTGGTGTGTGTGTGTGCGCTTGTGTGTATGCAGCATTTTCGGTATTATCCACATTACGGCGTAATTTGTTTGTGTGTGTGTGTGTGTGTGTGTCTGTGCGTGTAGCAAAAACGCAACAGGCATCACCATTACACATAAAACACACTGACTGTGGGGGAGTTATTGTTTTTTACGACTGTTTAAAATGGCCGATTGTCAAGGTTAACGACCCAAACGGGCTTATTAACAATTTTATTTTATTATTTTCTCGTCATAATTCTGTGGATGGTTTTGTTGTTGCTGTTGGTTGTCTCATGTCTGTGCGCGGAGAGAGCACGCATTTAATGGCCATCCATGCCACCAGCAAAACAGAATATCAGCGCAACGAACTGAAATCAAGCCAAACCAATCCATATGATAACAAGACCATGAAAACTTTTTGAAAAGATTTTAATGCGCTTTTGTTAGCATCTTTTCACTCTTACATTTCCTTTGAGCGCACCTCTACGGTTCGTTTCGAAGGTGCTTCTGCCTAACATTACTTCTCGGTCTCTCACACAACGTGAAATGCGAAAACGAAAACCGTTTTACTGTTCTCAATTCTGCGCTCTCGGATGTGCATTTTATTGAAAAATCGTATAAATTATGATTTGCGGATGAGTGTTTTAAGTGTGCTACTTGCGTTGCAATTTAACAAAAAAATAAAAAAAAATAAAACGGAGGAAAAAAACAGCCGAAACCCGACGCACATAAGAACAAAGGCATGTGCAGCACAACAAAATATGAAATAATGATTTTTAAACTGTTTTCATTATGTGATGCTGTGACTTCAGCACCACACATTTAACTTGAATGCATCTTTGGCTCGCCTGCCCAAGTTGTCCAACACATTCGTAGGTAAGCTACGGTGCGGCAAAATGTTGGCGATTGCATTTAGCGGCAAGTTGGAAATGAAGCGTACAAAAGACATGGAATATATTAAAGACATCGGCAGTGATTCATGTTTTCGTAATACGTATTGCGTTGTGTGCACGTTTTGCCATTTGAAAGCCAACTTTCGATGGCTATATTACGTTTACAATCTTTTGATGTTTACTCCGGAACCCGATGCAACAAAATATCTAATGACGGTGTAAACTGAGAGCAAACACACTCATATTGTATCCTTTCGGGCTAGTCGGTTCGCAAAATAATGAGCTCTACATAGTGAATGTATAATGCGCTGAATAAGGTCTACCGGCCGCATTTTGGCGATTTAATTACTACAGCCAAATAAAATGTGTTGAAGTCGTCGAAGTCGTCGCCGTCGTTGTAAACAAAAATACGAAGACGAAATGAAATGAAGAGCAGAACGACGACAGAAGAACGGAAAGGACCGCGGAGGAACATATAATAATTATTGTCAATCGGATCGATGGTACGCGGTCGGGCCATCGCACACATGTTCATCAAAAATTCAACGATAATGAAAAATATCATCAGTCATTTTTCTAATGCAAAAGGAAACGCAGACAAGAACAAGAACAAGAACATTTATCATGTTAATTATGTATTTAAATCATAAAATAAATGAATTGTACGACTGGTCGATGTGTGTGTGCATGTCTTTTTCATTGCTGGGGAAGAACACATGGACACCATGAAAAATAATAATTTATTGTCGCTGAACAACGTTGGTGCGTTGTATTTTTTTTTATCGCTTTTCTGCTGGTAATTGAATTACTCGTTTGACCCAAAACAAATGTGTTAATGGATTTTCATCTAAAATTAAGCGAAATGTAATTAAAATGATGTCTCTGCGCCAAGCATTCACACAACACATTTGGTCGGTTTACCCCATTTTCCACTCGCCAAATATTCCGAATATTTTTCCACCATAAATTTTATTTTGCAAATTTTCTGTTCATACGACGATTTTCTCGGCTTGAAACTTCATTGAAGTGACGGTATCGGTTTCTAGTTTTAAATATAAAATGAATCGAATCGAAATTCAATTTGGGCTAAAGAGAGTGGGAGAGAGAAGCAACATCAAATCCACTCGATGTAAATTGCATAACTGAAATTGGTGCAAATCGTCAACGGAATGTGAGTTTGTTACAAAACAAATCAAACGAATGACAATATGATTAATGATCGTCATTATCGCCACAATGCATTACACTCTCTGGTTCTGATGCCCCCCTAGTTCAATTCGAACGCTGAGAGCCGAGATGGATTTTCTTATCCTTGCCATCAAGTGTGCTTATTTGCGTAAGGCGCATTAGAATGTTCCAATAGGTTCCGTACAATATCGAAATGGATTCAACCGAAAATTCGTCTCCATTCTTTCCTTATTCATTTCATTGTGAGGGATTTGGCAAGCGATTAGGTCGAGTGAGCGAGCAAGTGCAGTTCTCATCCAGCAATGAAATGGAAACACAACACCGTAAGCGCAACTGAACAACGAACCAAATTTCCATTAACGTAATGGGAATGAAAAGCAAAAGCAGCGCCAAAACAAATGTATCGTATTCAATTCAAGTATGCCATCGTTTCTGGTGCGGATTGAAAAGAAATTACGAATCTAAATATGAGCGCCACGGCACGAACACCAATCATAAATACGCACGAGGACATACACATACACAGGCATGGGCCAAATTCAATTTTCTTCGATTATTGAATTATCGTTTGTTCGTCGTCGAAACCGTTGCCTCGCCGTTGCTTCTTTTATTAGTTTTGGGCTACCTTTTGTTTTTTTTTCTGGTCTTTCGACCAACACCTAAATAATTTATATATTTATTTTTTCCCTTCTTAGTTTTTGGCCACAACTTATGTATACACACAACGGTAGTATCGCGTTATATTGTTTGCGTTGCAATGTGATGGTTAAGCTGGTGTCAAAAGCAGCAACCCCTGATGCAGTTTAATAACAAGGTGGGTCAAACAAGATTATACTTTGATGAATTTATCCTTGTTATTGGCGCTGTGTCTGTCGGTTTGTCTGTCGAAAATTTGATGCATACTTTGAATAAATTGATATAAATTGAAAATTAGGAGGAAATCGACCATGATAGCCGTTGCTTAGACCATAATTTGTTAAGTGTCTTATTAAAAAAAATGATTGGTTCGACTTTTCCCGTTTTCGTTTCTCTTTCTCAATCGCATGATATTCCGTGCGCATTCATTTGAATGGGGTGCATCGCAGTCCATACCACACAATCATTTTTAACAATTATAACCATTTCAATTGCGTACACGTCTCCTTAATAAGATCAAATTCGTTAATTTGTTCTTGCAGGCTGATTTGTGCAACACCATATGAAATATGATGAATCATTCCGGTCTCTTCTTCGGCAAAATTAGGCCTGGATACAGCACGATCACGAGCGAATGGTATCACACCAATTAAGAAATTATTTAATTCCATAATTGTCTTCAACGCATTGCCAATTTGGAATTGTTTGAACCAGTTTCGTGCCATTTATGTTGCACGAAGTGCTTATGCGCTCGTTGTTGGAGCGAAACGGATGCAAAAGTTTTCAAGTATCATAGAATGCGTGCTTATGTGTTTGTGTGTGTATGTGTATGTTGTCGTCATCGTGTTTAGTTGACAAACTAAGAGACAGGCAGACAGACAGACAGACCACTTCAATGGCCCGAGCATCCATGTATATTGATGTGCATTTTTGTGCATATTTGTGGTCAACGGCGAGTGTTTATAAAATGCGACTTTCAATATAAGGGAATATATAAATAAATTTACACTTCAAGCTTGTACACACGTATTTATAAGATGCATTTCGACTCCATAATTTAACGCTTATCGCTCATGATGATGCACATGAGTTGAGAATTGCTCAAACTCGACAGAATGCGCGATGTGAAATGATGAAGCAATAAGTGTTACTGAACATTTTAAATTTCGGGTTTTTCTGCTCATTGTAGCGCGACGATTAGTGCACACAATGATTTGGCAACAAGAAACTGACGGGATTTCGTGTATGTGTGGCTGCACTTTTCTGGGTCGCTGCGTTAAGCGTGAGAAAAGGACGGAACATGACCGGGAAATTTAGCGTATGGAGATATTTCTGCATCGATTCGAACGTGATATCAAGTCAAATCAAAATTAGTAAATGCATACCACACATTCGTGATTGACATTTGTTTTAAATGTTTAAATTTTTTAAAGTTTTTATTTTATTGTGTGTGTGTTTTTTTTTTCTTTCATTCGAGCTAAAAAATGTTGTTGAATTTGCGCTGTTGGGACGGTATTTCACGTCGTTGTGCCAACCACAACTTATTTCGCTGTGACTTTAATGAAAAGTTTTATTTTGAGTTATTTTCGAATTAAATTAAATTAGTATTTCACGTTATCGTTTTTGCCTGCGTTTGGCCGGGCCGAGCATATATGTGTGTGTGCCGGATTTTGTAAGTAAGGCGTTATTGGGAATCGATGACGCTACTTATGGCATTTCGAACCAGTGAATTCATTTCATTTTCCCACAATTATTACTTAAGCACAAAACGTTATGGTCAACGTTTTGCCGATCATCGTCCCCATATTTCATCTGGTGTTCATTTAATTGGGCAAAAAGCGGTAATCTCCGACAACAGCGTCGCATCACAAGCATTTCACATATTTTCATCTTATCAAAATATTCGACAGGAAGACCAAAGATGCGACTCGAACACAAACAAATAAAAGCTTGAGATTGTCTTCATGACCAATGCGATATACATATAGATATAAATGTATTTTGGTTCGAATGATTGTTCTAACCCCAATCAGCAATACAGCACATCCAAATGCAGATTGTGTCAAATCAAACAGGTAATCAGAATTGGGTATCGGAGCATGTGCATTCTTTGAGAAATTCTCTAAATTTCATGAAAGAAAACATTCATTGAAGATTCTTTGCTATTGGCCAGCCACTTTTTACGTGCATTCATTGTTATTGGTTTGTGAGATTGTTTGTTACGCGCTCGCTCATTCTCACATATGGAATGTTAAATCGTATCAATTGAAAATCATCAATCATATAATATAAAAACCAAATCAAACAAGCGAAAAAAGCGAAGAAAATAAAAAAAGAATTAAGTTGATTTATTATTCAATCGTAAATGCATCATTTCCATTTGGCTGGAACGCGCAAACCGACTCTCTCAAACAAAAGACAATGAAGAAAAAGAAAGATGAAAACCAACAAGAGAAAGCGAATCATTTGAGAAGGAGCGAGAAAAAGATGGAACTTAAAAATCAAATGATAGGATGAGTAGGACGACAAAACGATGTGATGGTATTAAATGTCTTTGGTTAAAAATAGAGTTTGATGTAATTCAGCTTTCGATACACATTACAGATTTTTTTTGTTCTCTCCTTCATCTTCTTAAAAAAAATTCTTTCGACTCTCCATATTTTCTATGATATTCTCTTCTCGCCTTCGTTTTATTCTTCTCCTTTCCTTTCTTTCTTCAAATAAACTGAACAAATGGAATTGGTCTTGGTCTATGTAAGAACATAAGTGCTCGGATAAAAGTTTATGAATAATGCACCCACAATAATCACATTCAACGCATTCTTCATACAGATTTGGTGCTCTGCCGTTCCATCGGCTTTTTTTCCCTATGTGCTTCTTATTCTTTCTCGTTGACTTTCATAGTCTGTGTTTGTCAGCCTTCTGAATGCTATAATTTTTGGTCATATTCCTCTATATTTGGGTGAATTCGATTCGATCCGATTCGATTCAAAAGACTAATGTCGTTTTCTTTCTGCCTGCTGCCCGAATACATCGCAATTCATATTCTTAGCCATGCCGACACAAGTGCTTAGCCGAATAAGTGAGTACGGGAAAGAGAAGAACAAAAAAAAAATTGTGTGGAATAAATTCAATTTCTTGTTTGGATTCCCTATTCGTAGCTTGTGTAGTTCAGAGCGCTTATGCCGCTTTTTTTTCGGTCAAAATGTTTTTCTCTACATGCACACACAAATTTTATTGCCTAATATCTTACTGCGATTGCACGCACATACCAATCGGTCGGAGCGCAAAATTCTCGCTGAATGTATTTCGGAGGGAAGAACAATAAAAATCTACAAATTTTCATGTATATTCTGGATCCAATCCCATTCATCGTCCTCAACCACACATCCATCCATCCACACACAATAACCGGCAGCATAATAAGTACACGACGTAATTTCACTTTTTGAGGGAGACATAAATCCAAATGATGATAATTTGCTGCCTTTTTCCATGCTGTCATTCGATCGGCATTACGACACTGTCTGGACGTCATCATTTTCCTATACATGATAATTTTGGAAGGGTCTGCCCCGTATGAAATGCACCGCTCGACATGAATGAATTCTCTGCTTCTTTTTTTGCCAGAACTGATTTCGCAATCCGGAAATTTTATCCGGTAAGTTGTTATGTTAGACAAAATATTTTATAATTATTTTTGCGAACGAACGTGGAATAATTTCCATCATCCTTTGCAGTTGCCTACGCGTTGCGTTCGGGTTGCGAACACATTCAATAGGGAGAAAATGTCGTCAGCGAATGATAATAGTTGAGTGCACTGTTTCTGTTCAGCATTCAATGGCAGTGACAATAAAATGTCCGTCGGTACGCAATCTCAGCAAATGCTCATGTTGAGCAATTCAAATAATTGATTTATGTAATATTGAGATATTTTTTTTCAGCGCTCAACAGAATTAAGATTCATGACAATAAAATCCATCACGATCTGTGTGCGTGCATCGATGATAAATAAACTAGAACTCTGTATTAGTTTTAATAGCATATATTCCATGGGCCAGTTGATGTCATTCGCTCTTACGCCATGCGCTTTACCGACGGCAAAATAAATTCGTGCATCAACTGAATTAGAGCTTGAATCTGTCTTCGTTCGCTTCTGTTTCGCGTTTCATAAATATGTCATTTCTTTTTCGCCATATTTTACTTAATCGATTTTTTGGCCTAGAAATGCTGATGATTGAAAATTGAAATTTAACCGCCCATTCACGTTATTGATTCAGTTGAGAGAAATTCCGATTCAGAATGAAAGTTGGCAAATCGATAAAGTTAAAAATATTTTGGCGATCCATAATGAATGGGACAGGTCGAGAAAAAGAACATTTAGAACAAGTTTTACAAAGAAACTGCAAGGTTCTGCCCATACGACAGTATCAATATCATTTGTTTTCGTTATTATAGGTTGAATACGGCTTATACGTGAATGCGGAGAGTTTTCATTGGATTTCCATTCCAAACCTAATTAACTAAAAGAGTTAGTCCATTTATAGATGCGCAGGTCACGTAGAAAATAAATGTATGCATACGAATTCAGAAATATAGGCACGCACTTAAAGAAACGGACATTGAAAGCGAAACATTGAAATAGTTTGGCCGCTTTATGGGCGTTGTATGAGTTTGATAAATGACAAGGTAATTGAACTTTTTTTTCGCCTCATCTCTCTAACAAGCCTTCGATCGAAAATTCCAAAATTGTTTACCTTATGTATCTCTCGTTCTCTCTCCATCTCCATCTCTCTCTCCCTCTCTATGTGTGTCGCTCTTTTTCTACACAGCACACGTTCAGAATTAATGCACATGAATGGGAACATGGATCCAAGTGCAATAAATTTTAATAATTCAAGGTCACCACCGCACCAGATGAAAATTTATGTCCATAACAAACAGTTAAATACACATAAATTATTGTGCACGTCGTGGAAAACTAAAACATATTCACAGTCTATTTCATTCGTTCGCATGGGCAAGTTAGTTTGCCATAGGCTGGCAATAGCATAGCGACGGGAAAAGAAGACGAAAAGGACAGATATGCGAATGAAACAAGTGTAAATTGTAGAATTGAAGTATACGCGGTGTTTGGGTCGGGTTTTGTGCATTCAACCCGTGCAGCATATTCATTTGATCGCGACACATATGCAGCAAAGAAAAATAAAATATAATTTATAATCACACGAATCATATGTGCGAACACTTTTAATGATATATTATCAATCACTAGACACCAGAATAAATAAGGAGGAAAAAAAAAGAACTGGGCCAATTTTTGTGGGAGGATATTAAGCCACTAAAGTCAACATTGGAATAAAGTTTGCATGTAAATTTGATTCAACTGTCAAAAGTAGTCGGATCTAGTCGTTGAGCAAATCATCACAGTAATTACGACGCATTTTGATAGATCGAAGAATGCCATCGTACGGCTATGAATAAAAAGGAAAAATCGATGGGCTAATAAGAAACGATGGAGGAAAAGGGAGCAAAAACTCCGAAGAAATGTCATCATTGTCATCGTCGTCGTCGGCGTCGAAGAGTTTTGATTGACAATGAACTGCCAATCACATACACGCAAGCTTTTGACATATGAATTTTTGCAGTTTGTCTGGCATTCGTAATATGTTTGCGCCGAAGAGGACGATGACGCTGCTTCTGAAGTCAAACATTTTTCTATACATTGTTCCTGCTGTTGTCGTTTTTATTTGTCGGCTCGGCTCGGTTCCGTGTTCCTGCCGGGTTCAAATGTCTGAAGCGACACAAAATGTCGTATCATTCATTCGGTGATGTGTGTGTGTGTGTGTGTGTGTGTGAATACTCAGCGTCTGCGTCTGTACCACCGCCTGAGTTTGACTGATTTCGGTGTACATGAAAGAGTGTTTTATGCGTATTTAAAATATAAATCATAATTTAATGTAGGTCATGGTGTTGCCGATGGAAATTACTTGCAAAATATAGACAATGAAAAGAGAGAGAAAGAGAGAGAGAGAGAGAGAGAGAGAGAGAGAGAGAGAGAGAGAGAGCCCGACAGAAACATAATAATAATGTGCTGGTGTCAGATCACATCACCGGCACAAAGTAATAGGTCCAAAGTCAGAAAGCGACGTTATCAATAGAGTGTCTGCTGTTTATGTCAAATCGTAGCAGCGATCGAACCAGCCGCTTTATGTATACATTTCGTTGTTGTGCTGGTGTTTATTGAACTATATTTTAGCCTCTTTTGCCTACTTCTTTTACGTGGCACCGCCGCTTAGTATAATAAATACGTCAAATTGCATGACATTTTTGACAATCCATATAAATATACAATGTGTATGTATATGTATATAAATATCAGCAGAGCAGTGTACACAAGCACCGGTCGTATTATTTAATAAAAGATGTCATCATGTTGCAAGCTGACATTCGACATATGTGCTATGTACAGGTTTGCCCGAATAAGTATCGGTTCGATATTGTTGATGCGATCCGATATAGGCGTTTGAAATGCCGAAAAGCATCAATAACACTAATGTTGACAGGCTGATTTGCAAGTCTGAGATCACTGAACTTTTATGTATTTTGTTCCGTGCATTTTACATTGATACCATTAAATTTATTTTATCTAGAACAATTACCATCCGCAAATAGATCTAGTGGATAATACCTCTCGAAAAAAGTCTCAATAAATTTTTCATCAAAACTTTGGTTTCGGCATATTTTTTCATACTTTCGTTTACTCAAGCAATTTGCACTTATAACTGCAAAATAAGCGCATGTAGAAAACAGAAAATGAATGTAATATGTGGGCAAGAAAAATGTGTGATCGCCTTTCTTTTGCTCCAAAATCGAACTGGCCTAAGCGTTGCCAGTATTAGGGGGAAAATGCCATGTCTCGCATGTGCGAAATACACATAAAAATCGTAGCGCGCTCCGCCATTCTGCCAAACCAATAGTAAATATTTCATTTCAGTTGACATGGTTTGTGGTTTTGACAGAAAATTGAATAGCTGACGTCATAGTCGAACTTTACCAGCTGGGTCATACAACAATGCGTCTCCTTGTTGTTGTAAAATATATCAGGCATAAACGCTTTTATTTCACCACGAAAAATGTTATGTAATCGAATGTTTGGCAACGGGAGTCGCAAAACCTATAAACACCGATAGAATATTCAACTTTCGGAAATAAAAGGAAGAAAAAATATCAAATAAACGAACAACCAAATTGTGCAAGCGCAAAATTCTGAATGGGCACTAGCCTAATCCCCGGCCATGTGCTTAATTTATTGATTTTTTTTTTGTTTTGCTTTCGCCGGAAATTAGCGTTTAGTAATATTTTTTTCTCCTTCTTTTCACTTGTTTGTCAATACGTTTCTTCTTGTTGTTGTCCACTTCTTAGGATCGAGCTAAGATGGCTTATAATTAAGAAATTATTGAAGGTTCATTCGGTTTGAAAGCGACTCATTCATGCGCACGCCGCATTCTAATGGGTTCAACAAATTGCAATCGATCGAAGACAACAGCAAATGTTATTTACTACAGAACATAATCGCTTTCGCCGCATATCATGGAAACTCTGTCAATTCTTTCTCTCTATCTCTGTCTGACCTTATGAATAGAGTTTAGCCTTGTGTATTTATTTTATTTCTCATTTCAGGTTTTTAAACTCGAATCAATTTGCATGTCTTTAGTATGATCTGCAGTGTTTTCCTCACGTACAAACTGGCTGGTCAACAAATGGAGAGTCAACGAAATGAAAATGTTTAGAATGTTGATCGATTGACTATTGCATTTGTCCTGAACAACGAGCACTTCAAGCCAAACAAAATACCAACTAAACCAATTAAATCAGTTGTTGGAATCGTTTGTTGCTTGTGAAAATTGTGTGTCTTCAATGTCTGTTGTTTTAGTCTGAGAGTGAATTTTGAACGTGATATGAAATCTGAGAGAATAAATCAAACAAAAATTAAACGAAGAGAAATGAAACAGAAAAAAAAAATCAATGCAACGGACAAAAAAAACCCTCAAGAATATGAGAGGTTTGCGATGCGTCACGAAATTTTCGCAACTTTTATTACAATGCACGACAGCTGCCGCCACATCTATAAATACACTTGCACGAACGAATTGGAATCGGATTGATAACAACAGCAGCGTTGGTATGAAAGAAAAAATATGGAATAGAACCGAATAGAATGGAATGGAATCAAAATGAAAGGCGCGGATAACAGTCCCGTTTGATGTGCCTTGCACAGTGCACACACATATCAACTATGTAAATAAATTACGATTCTGAGCATTTTCATTCGACCAATGAGAGACATTAGCTGAATTTTGTACTTGATTTAGATTGTGAATTCGCCGCCCGCTACACAAAACCGTATCAGCAATCAGTGTGCGCGCGATGTTGACGAGAGATAACGAATTAAAAATTCGTCGCACAGTTCCCATCATTTATAATAATTCCAGTGTTCAGCACATGCGTTTCGTTTGTGAGTGAGTGAGTGTGTGTGCTGTTATGGGAATCGTCTCGAAGTGTGTGCAGATAAATGCGATAATGCATTTTTCCGTTAAGAAAACTAGTAAAATAGCGTGTGATTGCTATTATTGCTACACTTCCATCGCGGTTTTATTCGTATTGAATAAATTTGTTGGTTGTGCGCTCTCCGAGTTCCTGTTAATTTTTTTTTTCGCTGGCTTTCCTCAGCTCTCCACCAAATTCTTTCAAGTATTCAAATCACACGCGCACTCGCTTAAGGGACTTTTACGTTGAACGTCAAATAGATTACGTGAAAAATATACACAGCTTTACGTCTTTGGGTTTTTTTTTGCGTCTTTTTCAACATTGGATTATACTTGTGTAACTACTGTGACGCCCCATGTTTTTTTCTTCTCGTATTGCCTCGAAATGCATTATTTTATTTGCCAATTCATGGCTTTTAGACGAAGCCATTCACACCAAAGTCATGCCGTCGAATCAATGGAACCCAAAAAAAAAAAAACTCAAAGTCACCAATGTTTTAGATAGCAAAATAAGAACCAAAAAGCGGAACACCAACGCCAAGTAATGAAAAAAATGTTCAATCCAGAATTGTGCGAGAGAAACGTCGAAAAGACAACTAAGACTCAAGACTAAAAGAGCAAGAAACGAAGATAGAAAACCGAAAACAGCACGTAGTGAAACAACACAAAACAACGACAGCAACGAGAATGAGTGTAAGCGAATATAATGGGATGTGAATTTAGTGGATTGATTTTTAGTGGCATGATGACGGCGTCGACATACTCGCACTCGCATTCTCTTTCTCTTTCATTGGATTTCGAGTTGCGTGTAGTTTTTTAAAAATTTTGTCACGTAATTCAAAGGTCGCATCGAATTGCTGAGTTTTACATTATTGCATTATTTTTATTATCATTTTATTTCATTCAACAAATGTAAGCATTCGGCTTCGAGTGCGTGTCTGCCATTTGCCTCTCAAAGCCAAATGCTAACTGCATTCTCCGCAAATCGATTGGCAAGAAATTGTCTGGTGAATGGTGTGTGTGTGCGTGTGTGTGTGTGCGTACCATTGCAAATGGTTTAGTCATGTGCTTAGCATTTGATTCAAATGTGTTATAGATTATGGTCTATGTATGCAATTGATTTTTGGGCCTGAACCCGAAATTGCAGATAGAAAAGATAATATGCTCCTGGTTGTTTTTTTGTCGGCCAATTGCATTTAATAATATTTTGTGCAATAGATTGCTCAATTCGATTTCGGATTCGGTTTTCAGTTCAATTGAATTTTCATCTCCGTGCATATCATATCCTTCAATTCGAAAGCGTGCGCATGTGTTTGGTGTGTTCAAACTTTGAATGATATGTCGGTTGCAATGAACAATTCCATTTGCACTTGCCAATCGGCGTGGAATTAATTGCACTTTATTTATTATTATTAAGCATGCATTCATGCACACAAAACCGAAACAAATTTATTCTCGAATGATTGGCGGCGCTGATAGTTTCTATTAGCACGTACATAACTCAAGCCTCCGTATCAAGCCATAATTACAGATGTTGATTTACTCCAAATTTGCAAGCGAACGAGCTTATATTTGCATTAACAATATCATCAGTTTGTTTTCACTGTTTTCATCCAGATTTTGTTAATTCTTGTGAAAATTGAAAAATGTTCGGCTGCTTGCAATGCTGCGATGGGTGGTAATGGGCCCGTGTGCAAAATTTCTGCCTTTCTCTACGGGAATATTGATTGGTTTTGGACACTTCATTACCTTCATTAGTCATTTAGCGGACATTACAGATTCGATGCATTTTTCATCGTAAATTTGTGGCAAAAACACGGTTTTGCGCATTTTTATACACCTTTACATGTTGTTCAGCTCGATCGGATCAAAAAGCCGAAGGAATCGTTTTTACGAGGGAATTTTGGTCACTCAAAAACGAGTCATTTGCAATGAGCAGATAAAACTTTCTTTGATTCCGCCAATTTAGAACTGTTTAAACAAATGCAATTTTCGACTCATTACCTTATTAATTTCGTTCGCGCTCGCCGATTACAACAAACATTTGCTAATGTTGTGTGTTTGAGGTATATCATTTTAATTAAAATCATTGCTCACTGCGTTCATCTCGTTGGTTTTGATTGTAATATATTTGACGTAGCCACGGCACAGATAAATAAAGTGTAAATATTTATTTCAGCGTGATTGCACCAAACCGCCATTCATTGCATAAAATCAATTTATATGCCGTGTCTAAACAAATTCATCCACAACGTGATGACCCACAAAAATTGCATCTCTAGCCGAGAGCTTTGTGAATAACAAATAGCAAATATGTATATCTGTCTTTCGTTTGCACTTTGCCGAGCGAGCACACTGTACGGAGGCGCACTGTGTGATTCTGTGCAATCGCCCGGCCCGTAAACTGTTGTTGTCTGTAAACATATTTGATTTGTGCAATTAGAACGTGCACAGTATGGGTGCTACAAATTCAACCGTCCGCGGTGTTGCTGCTCATTACTGGCATTAGCACTGCAGCGTTGCAGCGGGGCTGACTGGAAACGCATTTAGTTTGTTTCATGAAAATAATCAATGTAAATTGCAGAAACCGCAAACATTATTTCGTTTATTTTAGCTTGACTTCTTGCCATGTTTGTTTAGCGTTTGACTTGTGTATATCCTCCTCTGTGGCGCTGTCGTTGCCGTTGCCGTTTGCCGTTTCCAGTCATTGTGTCTTTTTCGATCTTTTAAGCTTTCCCACTAGTTTGATTGATAGTTCAGATATGAAAGATTGGAATCACTGTCGACAGGTTTATCACAAAGAGCGCTACCGACCGATGTGGATGATGATGTGCACTGGCTGTGTGAATCAAGGAAAATCAGCCTCGCGTTAAAAGCACCACTAATCAAATAGTTTTCGACATCAATTGATTAAAAAACCATTCATTACTTGGTCCATCGTTCAACGCCCGCTCTGGCCAATCGATCAGGCCGAATAACTGGCCCAAAGTTAAAAACCGAAAACAAAACAAAAATCAAACGGTACACTTTCTTATCATTTGGCCAAGGCTGACGAGCAACATAGCCCCAGCGACAATGCACCATAAATTGTAATGTGGACGATGCAATCTCTTTATTATAAAAACAAAAATCTTCTTCTTCTTTGTATGGGCCATGGTGCGAGTTCAACGCTACACTCTCAACAATCTTCAATCTTATACGCAATCTTATTCTCTCTTTCGCTGAGTTTTTGTTTTGTTTTTAATTTCAGAACATATTTAATTAATCCAAATGAAACAGGGAACAGCGGAGGAACATCAATCGTGCAGATTGATAGTAACAAGTAAGCGTGGTGCAGAGAGGCCGATGCCATGAAAAACTTCAATATTCATTGGCATGTCGACCCAATTGGATATACCTGTAAGTGGTTTGGTCAAATCGAGCCAAGCATATTTGTTACATGAGCGCTCGCGCACGACCACATTTTCGTCGGATCATCAGAGCGGCAACGAAAGAAAAACAACATTAAATTGAAACTCATTGGTAGCGATGTCGACAGGAGTGCCAGGCGACGAAAAAAAAAACTCATTGAACACATTGCTCAATGCAGAAAATACGATTCAAAGATAACAGACAGTTTTTTGTTCTTCTTTTGTTTTAATGAATATTAAATTCAGTGGTAAGAGAGATGGCTTCGATATGACCGAACAACAGCCATCCGCTTGAATATTTAGTCTTTTTTTAACCTTTACTTTGAATCAAAATGCGGTCTCTCGCTCGCCTTTATTCACTTTGCGTACATCTCTTTTTTTTTCTCTCGTGTTGGATTCATTCAACGGTTTCCGATTGATTTACCTTTCGTTAAATCATTCAATCGATAATGGATTAATTTACTTTTTCTCCTCTGACGAAAAGGAACAGTAAACAACAGCGCAGAAAAAAAGAGAAAAATAGGCGTTAACTAACACGTACACTGCAGTAGCGGCTACTCTTTTCAGGCGCTGATGTCTTTTTCTGTTCGATACATCCAAAAGCGATTTCATCGAACGAATAATTACTTTTAATAGATGCTAAAGATATGCACTGGAAATGGTTCTGATGACGTAGAACAACAATAACGAGAAAGAAACACGTCATGATTCCAACGGTCAACCACACACTGCGAGTGAAATTTCCAATACTCCAGTAAACCGATTGCGATCGAAATGAAGCGAGCGAAAAAAACGGTTTTTGACGGTAGTACGTTTAGGTGACGCAAAGACTGTCCACCAATCTTTGCGCCAAATGAAAAATTGCTTGAAACAAGTAACACGAGAAACACCGATCTCATGATCACTACTTTTAGAGAACATCAATCAATTTAAGTTACTTTATCGATCAGTCGATCGATCGATCGATCGATCGAATAAATTACAAAATTATTATCCTCTTGACCCCTTTTCACCGGTTGGACCTTTGATAATCAGAATTAAAGTCCCACTCATACGGCTATCAATCAATTTTGAAATGTTTCGCTTAATTGACCGCTCTCTACCTGCGATGCTGGTTTTTCATGGCTCAATTTTAGCATCAGCATATCATAGAAGAAATCAATCTTGTTTCATTCTTGTGAAAATCCAACTCGTGTGAAAATTACGGTGCAACATTTCATCACATTTTAAAGAAATGGATTCAAGGCTAGTGTTGTTGTCGTAACGAATTTGAGCACCTGTACATATTTGTCTTGCAAATTTTCATCATTCATTCTTGCTAACTATCCATTTGCTATTTTACCGATCAAAATAAGTGTAACTTTCGATCTTTTTTCAATATGTCATTTCCTCAAACTAAACTAAATGGCCTGCCTTGTCAGCAATTGTATGGAGTAACGATTGTTTTTAAATAATAGGCTAAGCATGAAATCATCGATTAAAAAAAAAAATAACAGAAAAATGAAAATTGCAATATGTTTTGAATAGTAACGATATACTATTTTATAAGTAAAATCAATTGTCAAAAGTGACTGAAAACGATTACTTCCGGCCCAATTTTGATGACAACCCAAGTATTTTACCAACAACAAACAGCAGAAAAAATGAACAAAGATTACGGTAATTGTGAGACAATTTCTGGTGAAAAGTTCAGCGTCAACGTGTCATTTTCATATCAAACATGTGATGAATAATGGTTGGGACAGTTGTCTGTATGAAGTTCATATTATGAAGTCATCTTTGAGCACGAGCGATGGGAGAAGCGAAGAATAAAAAACCAACGGTCTAGCAGAGAGAGAGAGAGAGAGAGAGAGAGAGAGAGAGAGAGAGAGAGAGAAGCAGAAGAACCAAACAGTAGTGACGAAACCACAAGGACGGCTGCTCTTGTCATAATTGCAGTGGTGCGTCGTTGATGTTTCGATAGGTCTTTTTTTCTTTCTCTCTCTCCATCTCGCAGAGTGTGCGCTTAATGAATACTTATTTAATGCGAAAATTACATATATTCCCAGGCATTTTTGTGGGTATTAGGTCGGTAAGCATTGGTTTAATTCACATTCTGTTTATATGTATATGCAATGTCAACGTTAACCAATGCCACACAAGCAGCTACCCAGAAAATTGGAAGGAGGGGCACATTTTTCCATCTGGTTGCATTTTCAAACAGTTCTAGATATGACTTGGGGCTTTTTTTTCTTCTATATATATATATATATGTACGTATGTGTATTAATTATACCACTGATGAATATAAAAACTACTAAACAAAGCCAAAAAAAAACCTGCAAGAAGCGGTTGCAAACCATACTTATTGCTAGAAAATACCGGACTCTGAGGCTTTTAGTTTTTCGCTTTTTCCGATTTTCATCTGACATTCGGTTGTCCTTAAATTTTTGATTTGATAGTTTAGCCCATGTAAATACGATTCATTTCGAGCGCAATTATTTGGCTGCTACGAGCATTATTTATTTTAATTTCATGTTACCGCATTGTGTGTCTAGTATATGTCATCACCTTGCAGTACAAACAGATCCACTTTTTTTTCACTGATATTCTGCATATTCACTTACCATCTGTAAAGAAAAAGAGAGAAAAAATCCGTAAGAAATTGTGGAAATCAAAACAAAGAAAAAATTGAAGATCAATGATCGATGAATCGAGCATGGCATTCAATTTGAATAGGAATTGTGTGGACACGCAAATCATCTTTTAAAACTAAAACTCAGTTCCGCAAAAGCAAACATTTTATCACAACTGTATCAGTGAAGATAGACATTTTCATTCATTAGTCGTTGTGTATGTGAACATATGGACATTTTTCTTTCAGTCGTTTGCTAAGCATAGTTTTCTCTTTATTTCAGAATAGAGACTTAAGTTGAATGACAAACCGTTTTCAGCTGTTCATCATGATTTATAAAAACGGGAGATGAAAACAATTCATGTCATTGTCTTATGATCACGTGTGCAATGAGCCATTCGCTGTGGGTTTTTCTTGTTCACAAGCTTAAAATAAGCCTACTTAGCGGCAAAAACATTTATACTTCGAACATACACACACACACACGCTGATTCAATCGTACGTGAAGAAAACTGGTGCGTGTTTATCTAAATAGCAACGATAAATATTTTCCGTGTGAGTTCGAAACTTGAGACTATCTTTGAATTAGATGGGTGTTGTGATTTGCAGCAACACCAGCCTGATTCAATTTTATCAATTTCAGCGCCAGATTAGATCTCAGAATGATGGGAATGCTGAGAAAAAGTGTCCGCCTTGAGAAACAAACAATCGTCTCAAACTGAAACCGAAAAGATTTCATCGGTTGTTGGTGGTTGAATTGTATCGGCAGATGTCCGTTTCATTATTAGATTTGGTTTGGAACAGTCCCGAGGTCAAAACACATCGAAATATTCAAATATACATGACATTCATTATAGATGGCTCTGTGACTTGAGGGCCCATTCAAAAACAAGTCAATTCTTTCATCGCTACGGATTTGGATATTTGGCGGATCGTGCAGCAATGCAACCGAACAAGTTTCATTCACTTGTGCTTACAAAAATATGTTATTAATATTCTGGTTCGCATTTCATCTGTTTCGCTTTGTTCTGTGCACTCTTTGTGAAAATAAGTTTTCTTTCGATGTTTTGCAGTGTGTGAGTGTGTTTTTGTGTTTTTTCTTTCTTTCTCTCTTCGAAATATTATTAATTTTCTTTAGTTTTTGTTGTGGCCACAGCAGCCGTGACGGCAGAACAAATTCTGCGCACAGCAGACACACATCATCATCATCATCATCGTCTCTATCGTGCGGAGTATTGAATTGTTCGGATTTTATTGTTCACATTCATGTATTTAGTTGCCGTGCTCCTCTTCTACTTCTTCTTCTTCTTCTTTTTGCTTCTAAGTTGTTTCACTTTTGTTTCATCGTTTCATTAAATGCTGAACTCTTCTTACTTTGTTCATTTTGCGCGATTCACTTTACGTCTTTTCATTTAATTTTGTTTTATTATAGTCTCATCTCTGTGTCCCTCTCTCTTTCTCTCTATCTATCTGTTTTTCATGTGCGCCTTCTTTGCCTAGGTGCCTCGCTGTTCTTGTTGTTGCTTTTTTTTTTTTCTATGCGCGACTTGCGCGGTGAATAGTCTCTTTCACATAAATAAGCGTCTACAAATTGTTCTGAATTCACTAGAAATACTGTGTGATTTCTTAGATTTCCGTGCATTTTACTTGGAAACTGAAAAATACGCGCTGAAAAAAAAAACAAGATCGACGCGTACAATATAGGCAGAGAACAGAAAAAAGAAGACAGAAAGAAAGAGATAAAAAAAAACGACGGCATGTATGTTGGCTTAATAACTGAGGCATTTAGCATGAACAAGCGAATAACAACAACAGCAAATCGTTTAGCCGACACATACGGAATTTATTATATGTTTAATTTGGTAAAATGTGTACAATAAACCGGTATACAGGAAAAAATAAAAATGAATCAAGTGAAAAGAAGATCAAATAAGCGACTCGGAGAATTTGCGTGAAAAAGAAGGCGTAAATGAGGCGAATGAATGAAAAATATTATTTTGTTTTACTTGCATTGAGTTTATTAAATCGAGCACGACCAAACACACAACTTCCGAAATTCAAGTATTCAAATCAGATGTTTGCTCGGTTTGCTTGTTATCTTTTGATAAAATTGCCCGCGACGGACGATGACGACGACGACGACGACGACGACGACGACGGCGACGGCGACGCTGATGACAATGATGTCGCTTTGTGGCATAACATTCTTGATTTCAAGAAGAACGGCTCAACCATAATTAGAGCTGTCAATGCAATATATTTATCGTGTGCTTGTGCATTTTCATTTGACAGAATTTATTTTTGGCACACAACAATTTATATTTCGGAAGTCATGACTCGGTATGGTTGACGATGAAAATTCAAGCGCTTGACTTTTTGCTGTGTCAAGTCTTTTACAGTGAATAACAACCTGAAAATCCTGCCATAAATGAAATGATTTTTCATGTCACATTTCACGTTAGAAAATCCATCAAAACTCATATATTCATTACTCGTCCTGACATTCAGACGTCACTCATTTGGAAATAGAAACATACCTTTGAGATCAGTCTCACAATAAGAGGTGAAAAACCGAGTGAGACAGCGAAAAGGAGGGAGAGAAAAAAAAACTAGCCAAAGAGTGAAGCCAAAGAGTGAAGCCAACATTTCTGGTCATTTCAACATCAAAACATTGTTCATAATTCATATTTCGTAAATTACATTCTAATTACCCCTAATTTTGTATTTAAAACAAAAATGAATAAAACAACGGACGATATGGTAATAATAATGTTAACGGTTGTGGATCCGAGTGTGTGTATGTGTGTGGCTTTAAATCTGCAATTTTCGGCTTCCCTTTGTCCAGAAGAAGGAAGACCGTGGCATTTTAATGGAAAATGAAGGAGAGCAAGAAGCAAACCCATCATTATCCTATTAGACACTGTGTCAGGTTTTGGTTGTTTATTGTGTACACTCTTTGATATGTGTGTGTGTGCTGACGTATGCAGTGCAGTCAATTAATGACGTTGAAAAAGCTAGTTCTTTAATTTGTGAGGTGGCCGTTTTTTCTCCCTATTTTGTGTTGAATACATAGAGCTGTGTAGAGAGAGAGAGGGAGAGAGAGAGAGAGTGTATGTGTAGTGGAGAAAATGAGAATATGTTGACACATCGAGACAAGAAAAAAGTGCGCTTGTTATTCAAAATGTTCACCATTTACAGTGGGAATTTCTGCAGTTTTGCCCGTACATCATTAGGAGGAGTTTGCGGAAATTTTTCCTAAAAATTTAATATTGTAACGGCATCGACCAAGTCTTCTTTCGAAAGAATTTAAAATTAGATTGGTTGGCTGGATAAGTATCTCTTATGAATTGGTTTTATTGCAACCAGAAACCGCATATTGCATAGACACAAACCGCATTCAAAGTAATTACTATCATTTGGTTGAACACACGAAAATCCATCAGTGTAGTGTGATCAGTGAGTGCGGCTAAGAAATCCAAACCGAGTGTTCTTTTTCACTTGCGTCCATTGTTCGGTTCGATTAATGTGCTCCTGCTCGTATTCCCTCTCACTCACTCTCTCGGCTTCTATCCCAGTTTCGGTGTTTTTGGTTGTTTCGACAAACAATCTATTATAATTAAGAAAGGTGTTGGGTGCTGAACTTTAATTTGGTCAATGTGTAATGTTACCGTGTTTGGCTGAGCGAACACCATCAGAGTTCAAACTGAGAGACTTGCATACAATCACACACATACTATATTTGTATAGACGTGTAGGGTAAACAAAATGTGCGGGTGTTGTTCGCACCAAAATCGGGAACCCGACTGTATGAAGCCTAGTGGCCAGTACGTGTAGTACAGATAATGCTAAGGTAAAATAGTGGTCGATTCAGTGTTATTTGTGTTGTGTAGCCTGCTTCAGATAGCGACCATCAAACATCTGGCTACGTTCTCAGAGTGCCAGGGCATTCATTATAGCCATCGATGTCGCCATCCAACACACACACAACGTAACGCAACGCGAACTGGCGAACAGGCGAACAGGCGAATGTGCGAGTGTGCTTGCACCAAAAATAAACCGCCACATGCACACCAAAAACCGCATAAACACATTAATCAAATTATATATGGAGCAAGCGACACATGAGGCAAGACGAAAACGAGGAATGCCTAAAACAACAATTACAAACAGTGGCTCAGCGACAGCCACCAACGTACGAAGGGGGCGAAAGTGACGGCGAGAGAGAAGGAGATGTAGCCACAGTCAAAGCACTGCCATATCGTTCGCATCGAATAATTGCATTCTAAAACTAATATGGATTTAATTAAATGTTTGGATAGAAAGAGAAGCAGTTCTTCAGCATTTATTTTCCCCGGTTCCATTGGGAAGTGGTCCGTTTATGTTGTTTCGAGAAATGCTATTATTATCATTATTTCAACGTTTTGTTGATTTATACATTTTGGGTTTGCTTACGCTATCTGAATTAAAGCGCAGGAAATTAACTCTGACTCCATCGACGCATCGGATGTGTTTCCTCTGTTCTATCGAGGCGATATTGTGGTAACAATCAACACAAATCCCCATTCGAACTGGTACTGTTTTGGTGGCAAAGAACTAGGATTTCTTTGTCTCTAATTATTATTAATTTATTCCGAATGGAAAATCACAAGCACCACCGGTAATAATAGTCCAGATAATGATTCAAATTACAAAAAAAGAATCAATCAAGGTACACATTAATTTACCGCCTGGACAAATAGTGTGAAAAAAAAACACTGTGAACCATGAAAATGATCAAAACGGATAATGATTTCGAACTATGCAGTTTTTTCAATTAACTGGGCCATCAAATTATCGACGGCCATAAGTATACTTCTAGTGTGTGACCGCTTACACATGTTTTTATCCATGCCCATGTTGAAATGCTTCTTCTGCAGAAATGTCAAACCATGTGCGTCGATAGTGATAAAATAATGTCCGTCCCATTCGATCAATTTTCAGCGATTAACTGATTCG